GAAACGGTGTGGTTTGGCTCCTTTATTTTCATTTTTATTTTTAATTCTATTGATGTGGTTTCTTTTCCAACTGCAGTACCAGCGCACCATTAAAATTATATTCCTTTGTCTCATTTGTTTAAACTTTTAGACTAAAGAAAAACAAAAGGTTGTTACTCGGTATTACGGTCTGATAGTATTTATTTTCACTTAGAAGTGAGTGGTTTTAGATTTAAATCTTCTACATGACGAATTTGATACCAAATTAGGTTGTCCATTATGTAGCTTGGCCGAACTCTCCCTCCATTAGGTTATTCACCGTGTGGCTTAGCCGAACTTCCCCTCTCCTTAGTGTAAAAATATCAATATACTAAAAAAAAAAAAAACAAAAGGTTGATGTTTGTTATTGTTCTATTTTAATTCTTGTTATTATTTCTAGTATTTAAAATTATTTTATCTAATTTTCTTTTAATTCTTGAGAATTAATGACTTGAGAACTTGTTTCGGATATACAACAAGTTTGTGAGGAAAGGTATTAGTGTTTGTATTATGTGAGAAAGGTTTTTGTTTTTATTGAAAGAAATGTTTACATTGAGAGAGATGTACAACAACTGTGTGATAGTTTGGTTTTTTATATTGAAAAATGATTTTACTTTTATTGATAATGAGCTTATTATGCAATATCATGACATGAAACCTTGCCGGTAATAATTGCAACTTGTTTGTATCAATAAATTATGAACAACATTAATATTGTCTACTACTAAAAGAATTTGATTGTCTAAATTTTTTTCAGAATCTATTTAAGCTTTTAAATTCCGCCCCTTCCCTAAAAAATTCCTGGTTTCGCCACTGATGGTATGCTATATTTTTTGTTGCAATGTCCCACATCGACTAAATCAATGAGAAAAGAATAGTTTAAATATTCTAACCTCCTCCAACTAATACCGAGGCTTTTTGTGATAAAACCACACAATTGATGGATTGTGCAGGTGGTAGTTACCAAGTTAGGGATAGTATCGGTGTTGTTGGAAGTGGGCCTTCAACCCGTCTCTCTGATAATTTTACTGGTATCGGAGTGAGGGAGCGGGCCCGTACTATACTGCCGTGTGTAGGGTGAGTCCCTTGACTCCACGTGGTTGTCGATGTGTGGATCTTTCATGTGTGACCTAGGGAGTGGGCACGTACTGTACTGCCCTTTCTGTGATAAAACCCCACACTTGATGAATTGTGCAGGTGGTAATTACCAAGTTAGGGACAATATCGGTGTTGTTGTCAATGTGTGGATCTCCTACGTGTGATCTAGGGAATGGGCTCGTACTGTACTGCTCTTTTTGTAATAAAACCCCACACATGATGGATTGTGTAGGTGGTAATTACCAAGTTAGGGACAATATCGATGTTGTTGGAAGTGGGCCTTCAGCCTGTCTCTCTAATAATTATACTGGTATCAGAGCGAGGTAGCGGGCCCGTACTGTACTGCCACGTGTAGGGTGAGTCCCCTTGACTCCACGTGGTTGTCGATATGTGGATCTCCCACGTGTGACCTAGGGAGCGGGCCCGTATTGTATTGCCACGTGTAAGGTGAGTCCCCTTGACTTCACGTGGTTGTCGATGTGTAGATCTCTCACGTATGACCCATTAATTGGGTCTCACGTGAGGGGGTGTGTTGAAATGTCCCACATTGACCGTATCAATGAGAAAATAATAGTTTAAATATCCTAATCTCCAACTTATACCCATGCTTTTTGTGATAAAACCCCACACCTGACAGATTGTGTAGGTGGCAATTACCAAGTTGGGGACAACATCGGTGTTGTTGGAAGTGAGCATTTGGCCCATCTCTCTGATAATTCTACTTGTTGGCACTTGATTTTTTATTTTAATTATTTAATCTGATACAAGTGATAGTGGGATAAAATGGAACTCGCAATTTCAGTTGCAACGGTGAATATTCTTAACCAATTAAGCGACAACCATTTTGAGGCCAAATTTTTTTTATCTTTTGAGAATTGCCTTTTGTGGGTTTACTTAAGTTAGCATCAGATTCACACTGCAATACACTTGCTCACTGGTTTCTTAACATCACCAACTGTGGCGAAGCCACATAGCCGCATGGAGGTGCTAGAATTCGCCCCTTTGAACTTGCACAGAAGGTGTTCGATGAAATGCCTGAACTGATCACCAATACAATGATTTAACAAGTTGCTTGCTAAGAATGTAAAGCTGCACATCGGAAACCGAAGCAAATAAAATACAACAATACGACCATATCAATGAGAAAATAATAGTTTAAATATCCTAACTGTCCCTCTAACTAACAACAAGATCCTTTGTGATAAAATCCTACACCTGACAGATTGGGCAGATAGTAAAGTGGGGACAATATCGATGTTGTTGGAGTGGGCCCTCGGTTCTACACACTACTAATAGAACCAATTTTTTTTTTTTTTTTTTTTTGAGATAAAACTCCACTGGTCCATCTTTCTGAAATCTTGCCAGTTGTTTGATAAATCGTCTTTGATCTGCAGAATCACGCGCAATCATGAGGTACTACGCAGAAAAGTACAAGTCACAAGGGACTAATTTGCTGGGGAAGACAATTGAGGAAAGAGGGCTTGCGGAACAGTGGCTGGAAGTTGAAGCACACAACTTCCACCCACCTAGCTACAATATGGCCCTTCACATTCGTTTTGCCTCAGTTTTGGGTTTTCCTTCAGACCATAAGATCATACAAGAGAGTGAAGAAAAGCTGGGAAAAGTGCTGGACATTTACGAGGAGCGGCTGTCGAAGAGCAAGTACTTGGCCGGTGATTTCTTTAGCCTTGCTGATTTTAGCCACCTTTCGCTCACTCAATACTTGGTGGCTAATATGGGAAAGGAGTATATGATCAGGGACAGAAAGCATGTCTCTGCATGGTGGGATGACATTAGCAACAGACCATCTTGGAAAAGGGTCCTCCAGTTTGGTGCCCCATTTTAAGGTCGATGTACCTTTGGAAGAAAATGTGTGTAGAACGGGTGTATATACTGGTTTTTCTCGTAGTGATAACGTGTTGTGTATGAAAAGTTATTGTGAGAAGAAGGTTTTACTCTCTTGGTACTTTATATAAACTTTTGTACCCTAGAGGTTGGGCAAAATAAATAATCAGAACTTGTTGGAATAATGTGCTCTTTCCTTTATCATTTGCTTTATGTCATGGCTATCTGCCGATCTGTGGTAAATTTTCTGTGTCATGTTCCTTCTATTTTCACTTGATGATCAGCACTGCAAGGTCAAGCTCATCTCTGATGCTCGAACTTGTAAACTACATAATACCTCCATAAATTAGGGTTTACCAATAGTAAATAAATACAGTATTGCAATATGTGTGTCTATAACATCACTTGACAATGTGAAGTCGTATTGAGAAGATTAAGTAAATAAATACATGCATTATAGTATGTGAAATTGTAACATCACATGGTAGTGTTACAGTCACTTTAAAAGAATAAAGTATATAAATACACGTGTATAATATGAATTAAAAGAATCAAGTACATAAATACGTGTGTAGAATATGAATATTGTCATGTAAGTGTTTCATTGGAGTGGTTATAAAGGGGACGGTTGTTCATGATATGAATATTGTTCATCAAGTTGAATATCAGAGCGCGCAAATAAGACTACAAAATAATAAGAATATTATTAAAAAAATAAAAATGCCAGAACGACTACAAAACCTCAAAATGCTACATTGTGATTAACTTATTCTACGAAATTAGGTATCATTATATTTATAACGAACACATCTAATCCTAATAACTAGACCTAAACTAAACTTATAAAAAAATCCAAACAATATAATACCTAAAATAATAATATTTTCCAACACATCATATTTAATATTATGAGTACAAAACAAGGCAGATAGAAATCCCCAACTTCAATGCATTTCACATGCTTTCTCATCACATTTGGCACCTTTTACTCGTCTTACGTCATGGCCTCCATTTTATATGCCATTATTTGTTATGTCCTGGCCTTCATTTTATATAACATATTTATAAGAAGTTGTTATTGGGACTTTAATTTTTTTTTTATTTATAAATTTTTTAGATTTAGTTATGAAAAGTGTATAATGTAATTTTTGGAATAGCAATAAGAGTTCATTTACATGTACATAATTGTCTTTCCTTTGCTATCTTAGAGCATCTCTAAAATAAATGTCAAAATATCCAAATTAACATTAATAGTCAAAAGATAGCAACAATTTTCCAACCGAAAAACCAAATCTGATGTGGCATAATATGAATTGACAACTATCACTCTTGCTACACAAATTAACAGCAGCTACAAATCTTTTTTAATTGATTATTGACTGTATTTTATTAATTTTATTATTGTCTTTTATTTCAAAACATTTATTATAATATTTTAATGCAATAAAATAATAACTTAGTTGACATGACAGGTGGAGAGAAAAACTAAAAGATATCAACCTACTTGTCAAATTTAAATTTTATGTTTAAAATTGTGAAAATTACATTTACTTCCTCAAGTTGACATTAACAAATTTGTTGGAATTTTGGATTGACAGGCCAAGGCACCCCACTTTAACAACACAAATATTGTCCTCAACTTGATAATTATCACATGTCTAATCCGTCAGGTGTGGGGACTAGGTATTAATTAGAGTAAGGTAATTATATTTAAACTCATTATTTCTCTTTCCCTCACCGATGTGAGATAGTTAACCTTTAAATAATGACGTGATAACAATGTGTTCCTCATTTATACTGACGTGACTGTCAACTTGTGCCACATACCCGTTAAATTAAAAAAATTTCGACTAGAAAAATGATCTTCGAAATGCATCCTACTTTAATCTCTGAAAATGTAATTTACTTTTTAAAATTTAGCATATCATTTGAAGATGCTGCTAGGAAAGCTGCAACTGGATGGATGTATGCATGTGAGCAGCCCCACCTACCCTCCACTCCAATTTTAAATTCTTCAATCCAATTGTTGGAGTGCTATATAATAAGAAGTACAGAACCAGAAGCTGGAGTCTGCAGACTGTTATCTAAATCCTTCGGTTTTAACACTAAAAAGTCATAACATGGTGGTGAAGGTGTATGGGCCTCTGTACGCCGCCCCAAAGCGTGTTTTGGTATGCCTTGTTGAGAAAGAGGTTGACTTTGAGACAGTCCCCATTGATCTTCTCAAGGGAGAGAACAAACACCCCGATTTCCTCAAGTTACAGGTTAGCTAATTAGTTACCTCTTAATGCAATTGTTTCTGATTAGCGATTGTTTTACACGTAGGATGAATTGGGACGTTATTTTGTAAATACGTAATTATTTTGAATATATTACATATTTTAATGATGTGGAAAATAAAAATAATAAAATATTAAAAACTAGGGGGAAAAAAAGAAGAGCATCGCTACGTCGACAGTGGGTGTGGTGATGACGGCTGTTGTTCGCCGACGGCTTTCAGTCGACTCCGCCGAGCCAATTTGTGGGATTAATGTTGGGACTCAGCGGGTGACTGGGTGTTGGATTGGATTGGGGTTGGGACTCTCCACTGCTGAGCTTTGCTCGATTAACGCTAGTCCGAGTCTTTTATCACAGAGCTTCGAGCCACCATTTCCATGGTCGGCGAACCCGTATGTAAGTCGATGGCATCTTTAATTTTTTTTCTTCGAACCCCGCGTACCCACATCCCGCCCCAGATCCGTCGATCGCCGTTCCAGAAGCCAAAAAAAGAAAAAGTACCAAGATTTCCCACACTCAATACAGAAACATAGAATCCCAACAATTTCTTACCCATTTTCCCTCTGACCAAACACACCCAATTTTCTTCTCAGACAATATGCAGAGCTTAAATCACCCATTCCACTTCAGATCCTGAAAAGCCCAGCTAAGCCTATAAACCAAAAACTAAAATAATAAAAAATTTCCCACCGAGGAAGACGCTGAGGTTGGGATGGGGCTCTGCAATTGCAGCAGGTTGGGTGGAAGTGGCGTGAAGCAGAATTAGGGTTTCATTTTTTTTTCTTTTTCTATTTTTAAGTTTTTAATAATTAAAAAAAAACTTAAAATCTGTTTGGTATTCTACTTGAATCAAAATTTTTAAACTCAAAAACAATTTTCAAGTTTTAGACCTTAAACACTTATTTGGTAGAATTATTTTAAAAAACTGAACTAAGACTAACTAAAAAATATATTCTATTATCTAAAAACATAAAAAGTGAGTTTTAAAAGATTTTTTTTAATTAAACTCATTCATTTCTTTTTTCTACTTCATCCCCTCTCACACTAAATCTATCTCTCTTTTCTTCTTTCTCTCTCATCTTTTTTTTTAACCTCTTCATCTCTCCCCTAATCCGCTCACTTCGTTTTCTTAGTTTTTTTCTTTCACTCCTCTTCCTCTCTATCTCGTCTGAACTTCTCTCTTCGTCTTTCTCTTTTTTTTTCAATCATCTCTTACATTGTGTTTCGATGGAGAATTTCTAAATTATCACAGAATTTTAAATGACGGGAATTACAATTGACAGTAATTAAATTCCCATTAATTGAAATTTCATCGTTTAGATGTTGGATACATAGAAATTACAAAATGACGGAAATTCCAAATTTCATTGTTTGGATATTCTCTAGAATTTGTATTAAATAGAGGAATACAAATTTGAATAAAAACGTTAAACTGGTTATAAATCATTAAGGTAAAGTCATCAAACAAAAATCATTGAGCTATAAGAAAATACGTTGCTTTCCCTCACTCCCTGAAAAACCTTGAATGCGCACATTATCCAAGCTTCCACACTTGGAGTACATATCTATCAATGCAGAACCCACAAGAACATTTTCAGTAGGCCCAAAACCGAATTTCTTAGCAATGTCTCGAACCCAAGTAGCATACTTAGGTGCACCTAATTGTGTAGAAGCTGAAATGAGACCAACCAACGTAATCTCAGCAGTCCCTCCACCAGCACATTGCATTCTCTAAAAGCAATCCAACGTGTATCTTGGATGGGCATTCTGAGCATACCCATTAACCATTGCAGTTCACGCCACCATATCTTTTGCAAGCAACCCCTCAAACAACTCCCGAGCTGATTCCATATATCCCCAACCTGAAGGAAAATTTGTGAAAAACATGTTCATTTAAGCAACATCAATAGCATGCAATTAACAATTAAAGGCGGAATCATGCTTGTATGCACTTAAAACAAAACATTTACCCATGAAATTCAAAGCCTAGTAGATAGGTGAACCAAGACTCAACTCAAAACAAAGTGAGTTGAGAAATCAATACCTTTGTAGATTCCTCTTTGCATAAGCAAAGGCTAATCACCCAAAGAGAGGGCCTTCATTCCTTGCATCTTAGATCCATGGATTTGGATGGATGAAAATGTTTCTCCAAGTTCCCAAAATTGAGAACCTCTAAGTCTCCACACCAAGGTATATTGAAGAAGAAATGAGTGACCTTGAGGAAGTAAGATTGCTAGATGTTATCCTCAAGGTGGCCGGCCATTTCTAGAGAGAAAGGAGAGTTTGTGTTTCTCCAATTTCCCCAAAAACAACACTTAACAAATTTTGGCTATTAAGTCACACTTATACCTTAATTCATTTGAGTGGCAAACTTGTAAATAAGTCAAAACCCACTCTTTCTCTAACATGGCCGGCCTTAGGGATTTATTGGGCTATTTGGGCCTTTGTGAATCATTATTCATTAAGTTGTCATACAACTTAAGTCAATGGACTTGACGTTCGAAGCCCATTGGGCCTTAAGGTCCAAAACTATCCCGAGGTCTTCAACAAACTTATTCGTTTGATTATAATAATCATATTAATTAATCCTTGCCATAAATAATTAAACCATTTAATTATTCTTACTCATCTCCGTTGAATCTTCAAACTCTACCTTACACGGTGTACGATCCATTAGGTTCCTTTTAGCGAGGCAGTGGGCGATTCAAACTCTTTCAAATCGATTGTGAATTGAAACTTACTTTCAATTCTCCCGTTAGTGATAATACACTTTTAGGGCTTCCACAAACCATGGTTGACGCCTAGCAGCATGTCATGGTTACCCAAGCTAATCAGAAGAGGTGGAGAACCTATTCAGTTTTAGGATTACAAATGCAATACGGTCTTTCTCTAATACAATACTCTTGACCATATTGTTTGGTTTGATAGTTTATTCATGTCTACTATCCAATGTGAATCTTTGTACTTATATGATTACCTTGAATGTGATCTGGAACGCATTCCAACATCTCATTCATACTCTGGCCAGAGATTCTAAATCATATCATAGAGTATTCTCCCTCAAACAGTTTGAAGGTTAGAGATCCCTTGTTGCGCATTCACTTGCCTCCATGGCTAAGTGGCTTAACCCCGACGATGCCGTGGACACCCTGATAAAGTGACTTTGACATAATCAAAGATTAAGGACCTAACCATAAGACAACTGTGATGCCTCAGGTCAAAAGACTAATTTGCATTATCCCAACCATGAGTTCTCATGTGACATGAATATGAGAACTCTTCGTTGATCGTGTTCAGTGAACTCATTCTCTATTGAGCACCTACGTACTTGTCTTGATGTCACACACACCAATGACTCGAGACTAGTCACTCTCCCTGAGAGAAGACATAGCACGTACTGATCTTAACGGACTGTTAATGCCCAATTGACAATCCTATGATCAGGAACGTTTAGGATGTGTCAACGAAAGAATGGTCTCATGAATCTAACTTCTTTAGATCGCATTCTTCCAATCACATATTCCTTGGACTTATCGTTTAAGCATATAACATTTATATGAGACGGCTCAAACAATAATCTTTGCCCTTTACATTTAAACTACATTAGTTTGAAATGTCCGTAAAGTATCATCATATGATTGGTTTTAGGGCACATTTCCAACACAACCTTGGTATAAGCAAGTATCAACTCAATCCAAGAAACAACATCCCTCTCAGGCATTTCATCAGTTTGCATCAAAATGATACATCAACAAGACATTAGTTAAAATCAGAGTAAATTTTCCAACAATTAATAGCTTCAATTTTCCAACAATTAATAGCTGTAATTTTCCAACAATTAATAGCTACAATAATGTGATAAAGTTGATTGAAGTAGAAAAATCCCAGTAAAGCACACTTGCAAATGTCAATGAACTTTCATGACATGCAAGGCTTTTATTCTAACTAAAATCTTACTGAAAAACACTAAAATGGGAAATATAATGAAAACAATCCTATGCGCCTCGTGAAGTAAACAATAATACCATATTCTTTTTCTTCTTAACTGGGAGTGTCTTCAACATGAGAAATTGCTTGTCATTTTCGATCAACCAAGCACATGCTTTGATTTGTTCTTCTTCACTGAGATCTGGTATTGCATTTACTTCATCATATACCTCTGTTGGATCAAGCTTCTTTGTGTCTGCACAAATATATTCTTGAAAGGATGAAGCCATCTTGGCAAGTGAATCTGCAATCATATCTTTAGGGGTGGTTGGTTTTTTCTTTGTATGAGGCACTTCAACAAAATTTATTGGCTTTCTCTTGCTTTGAGTCTTCTGAACATTGGCTGAAGTAGGTGAAATATCATTAATAATTTCAATATCTTCTAAACCTTGCATATCACCATCCAAATCAATATGATTAGTTTCATTATGCGGAGAAGTCATAATCTCAACAGCTTTCACACCTGTTTCAGCACCCTCACCCGTGGCTCTATCTTTGCCACACAAATCCACTATATCATCCCAATTTGGAATGAACTTCCAACGAAAACTTTTAGCACCACTATGTGACTACCAATCGAAACATAAAAATCAAGAAGCAAACCGTAAGTATAAGAAGAGTTAAAAAAATATCACACACACAAAAGAAAAATAATGAATTTGTCATACCTTCACGTACTCTTGCCAGACATGATCTTCATCTACACTTATCATCTTTTTGGTTGCACCCCAACTAAATCCACTTTGACTTAGTATATCACTCACTATTGCATAGAACTTTTTCCAAGACTTCACACATTTCGAATGTTATCGGCGGTTACATGAATATCAAATTGAGTAGATATCATAGATGTAGCAGAATTATAAGCAGCTGTCTTCCAACCACCATCTTCTTTGTTACCCAATCTTCGTTCTTCACGAAGTATGTCAGCCAAAGCACGTTCCATATCTACATTCCATCTAAAATAATTATTTTCATCTCCTTCATTTTCAATTTCTTGGTTCTCTTTCTTTCTCCTTGGTTTTTGTTTGCATACTGGTTTTCTATCGAATCCTTTCATTGCTCCTAACATTAAACAAATATTAATTGAAATTTTAAGTCATTCGTAAACACATGCATATCAAGGAACAGAGTATCATTATTCACTAAGATAACACAATCAAAATAAAATCTGAAAACCAGGGCATTCCATAAAATATAAAAACTAATGCATTTCATAGCATGCATATCAAGAATCAGAGTATTAGCATTCACTAAGACAATATAATCAAACTAAAATCTGAAAATCAGGGCATTCCATAAAATTTAAAAACTAATGCATTTCGTAGCAATAATGTCATTGACAAAATTATTAACTGAGACGTTAAAGATGACATGCTAAGAAAAACAACTAATTTTCGATTAAGAAATATTGGCAACTCTCTGAGCTTGGTAATCATGGAACATATGCAATGCCAATGTATCACGAAATGTTGTCCATTCGGTAGTAGCTTGAATAGATGTAATCCCATCAGAGTTATTTTCATTTTCCTCCCTTGTTGAACGATTTAACAACTTTGAGTCCACAGATGCTAAAAATTATAAATCTTAAGCTTCTAAAATTGGATCAGCTGCTTGCTCAGTTCTAATAAAATTATGCAAGATACAACATGCATTTATAATCCTAACTTGTGTGTTTTAATATCAAAAAAGGATGGTGTGCGTAATATGCGCCATTGTTTTTTTAACAATCCAAATGCCCTCTCAATAACATTCCTTGCCTTTGAATGACGCAAATTATATAATTCTTTGTAGTTTTCAGGTCAACGGTTTCCAACCCACTCTTTCAAGTGATATCTAGTTCCATGGTAAGGTGCTAAAAACCCCGGTCCATTAGTATCGCCAGCGTCCACAAGAAAATACTTATCTACAATAAAAATTTAGAGAACAAATTTAGATACATTTTAAAGTTTTGTTTTTCTAACATAGAACTAATTGGTATCACACATTACCATTTGGAACATGAAACCGGTTACTCCTATGTAAAGCATCAAGCAAAACACGAGCATCAAATGCAGAGCCTTCCCATCCAGGTAACACATAAAAAAATCTTAAATCTGGACCACAAACTCCTAACATATTAGTGGATATATCACCCTTCTATCTCGATATCTTGGTCTTTCCTCAACCGTTATTGTTACTAGAATGAGAGTTCCATCAAGTGCTCCAAGACAATTCTAAATAAAAATGTCATACAATGAAAAAAAGATTAAAGTCTAAAAAGCTAGTGAAGATACCAAACAAATACATAATTTTTTTTAGAATTACCTCAAACCACCGCCACTTCTCTCTTTCAGAATTACCAATAATTCGTTGATATTTCACTTATTCTTGACTTATTTTCATCATTGCACGCAACACATTGTGAAATTGCCAACTAATTGTTTCCTTGGAACGATAATAGTGTAAACTGACGACTCTAAACTTCAAGTTGTGGGCAAGTATATGCAAAAAAATTGCAATAGATTCTTCAATGGACACATGTCTAGTGCGAACTAATCCACCAATCCCTTGTAAAATTTCACATACGTTTAAATGCACTCTTGCTAACTCGTAATTGTTCAATGCAAGTTGAATCTTTTCCATTAAACAATTGGCCGAGGAAAGATTGTCTTTCTTGATCCCAATCATTTGAAGGTTCTTTGAGAAGAACACTCTTACTATACCAATGCATGACAATGACAATAACATATATAATCGTACCAACAATAATTTTCCTCTTTTTCCTATTTTCCTCTTCATTTATAGCATGCTTTCGCTTTAACCTCGTTAGCATGTCTACAACATCAGTATTTTCCATACCTGTTTGAATATATCAACAAAGATATATTGTGACATGCAACAACAGTTATGTGATATGCAACTTTCTGTTTTAACCAAAAGAGTAGCCATACAAGTCACATTCAAATCAAGGAACTTTCTAAATTAACACCAAAGGCCATCAAAATCATCATTTTCAATCTTTCAATTACTGCTTCGGTGGCTTAACAAAATCATCATTTTCATATTGTTGCTTCTGCTTGTCATACATCATAATTAAAGATATTCGGTAGCGAGTAGGAGAAGCTAGATACGTTTTGATTGGATATGCGCTAGAAAGTCATATGCTTTTTTGGATTGAGGTGCTATCAAACGCTATTTCTATCTAAAGATTATCAAACCAGCTATTTTGAGTTCTGCAGCAACTCCTATTGGCTAATTAAGTGACAGTTGATTAAAATTATATCACTGATCACATGGGGTCTGCTAATCAGATTGAATTAGAGTTCACTAATTAACAAGACGATAATACTCTGATTCTTGATTTGAGTTGTTTCCTATATAAGGTTACAGACCCAATACACAATTCAATCGGATAAAAAAATTAATAAGCACACCAAGCATATGACTATCACCAAAATTCACAATTGCTATAAAGAGTATACCCAAAAAGCTTAAAATAATTCAAGAAAGAAGAGAGAAGAGGGAAGAGGCTAACCTAGAATGAAGGAAGAGATGAAGCACGAGCGAGAATCCCTTCGAAGATTGGTGAGTTATAACAGAGTGAAGCCCTTTTTACTATGAACTTTGGCGCTAAACATCCCAGTTTGGCACCCTAATCATGAAATTTGGCACTTGCAAGATTTCCATCCGATGGATTTGGGATTCTCTCTGTTGTTGGAATTATGAAATTCCACCTATTTAGATGGAAATTAAACTCGGTAATCTTCATCCCCAATTTCCCCCCTTTTTTTTTCCAGTAGAAATTGCCGTTTCTCTCGCAGCAAGGTTCCCAAACGTGGGAAAACTGCTTTCCCATCCTAATTCCCTAGTTTAAGTGAAATTATTTTTATTTTACTGTATCCAAACGGAGCATTAATTTCTTTCCTCCTCTTTTATTTTTCTCCCTCTCATGTGTCCCCATCTTTTTAGATCTCTTTGTCTAATTTAAATTGTAAGATTTAAAAATTTTAAATTGCAAACCAATCAAGTTTTTTAGTCTTAAAGAAAATTATTTTCAAGAAATGTTCTTAAGAAATATTTTAAGAAATGATAAAAATTTTCAAATAGGATACTAAACAGAGCCCTTAATTTTTTATTAATTAAATATTTTTTATTAGTTGGTCGGCCATGTGGCCCAAATTTAGTAGCCATGTCAGTATAAATATGGAACCCACTGTTGCCACGTCGTTGCTTAACGGCTAACTTAACAGATTATTTAACGGCTGTATGATATTGAAATGAAATAATAGTAAATCAGTAAATGTATGAAATTGAAATGTTTTAAAGATGTTGTATGAAGTTGCAATTGCACCAAAACTTGAGGGTGTAAAATGTAATTTACCCAATTATGTACGTGTACATTGATTTTGTATTGGTTTGTCTTTAAATGCAGCCATTTGGAACAGTTCCTCTCATTGAAGATGGGGATTATACTCTATATGGTATGCTCTGCTTTCCTTCTGGCACTTGATCTTTTAGTTTTTATTATTTATTCTGATACAAGTGATAGAGGGCTAGGAAAATCGAACTTGGAATTTCAGTTGCAATGGTGAATATTCGTAACTGAGTAACAATTCACCATTTTTGCTAGCACATGATATATCTTTACTTTTGGGTCCAAAATTTATCATCTTTTGAGAATTTCCTTAGCATCAGGTTGACCTTACAATTATACACTTGCTCACTGGTTTCTTAACATCACCTATACAAATGATCTAACAAGTTGTTTAAGAACGTAAAGTTGCACGTACCAAATAAAATACAACACATAACTAGTGATTCCACTACTAATAGCGAAGTCTTTTGAGATAAAACTCCACTGGTCCATCTTTCTGAAATCTCACCAATTGTTTGATAAAATCGTCTTTGATCTGCAGAATCACGCGCAATCATGAGGTACTATGCAGAAAAATATAAGTCACAAGGGACTGATTTGCTGGGAAAGACAATTGAGGAAAGAGGGCTTGTGGAACAATGGCTGGAAGTTGAAGCACACAACTTCCAACCACCAATCTACAACTTGGTCGTTCACATTCTCTTTACCCCAGTTTTGGGTTTTCCTTCAGACCCCAAGATCTTACAAGAGAGTGAAGAAAAGCTGGGAAAAGTGCTGGACATTTACGAGGAGCAGCTGTCGAAGAGCAAGTACTTGGCCGGTGATTTCTTCAGCCTTGCTGATCTTAGCCACCTTCCATTCACTCACTTCTTGGTGGCTAATATGGGGAAGGAGTATATGATCAGGGACAGAAAGCATGTCTCTGCATGGTGGGATGACATTAGCAACAGACCATCTTGGAAGAGGGTCCTACAGTTTGGCGACCCATTTTAAGGTCGATGTACCCTTGGAAGAAAATTTGTGTACTATGGGTGTGTACAATTATTTTTCTTGCAATGATAACGTGTTGTGTATGAAAAATTATTGTGAGAAGAACGTTAAATTCTTGCGTAATGTTATATTCTCTTGTAGTTTATAAAACTATTGTACCCTGGAGTTGGGCAAAAAACAAAATCAGAACAGCTTGTTGGAATAATGTGCTATCTCCTTGATCATTTGCTTTATGTCGTGGCTTGTGAGATGTTTTTTATTTCTCTGTAAGACTCACATTCGACCTTCCATTTGCTGATTGGCTGATCTTTGATCGTTTTTCTGCTTCATCTTCCTTCTATTTTTCTGTTTCTGTAGTCCTCATCTCTGATGCCCGCACTTGTGAACTACAGGGTTGATACCTCTCCAAATTAGGAATAGTAAATAAATAGTGTTGCAATATGCCTGACTCTAATATACTGTGGTAGTGTGGCAATTGCATTGAAAAGATCAAGTAAAAAAAACCATGTGTAAATATGTATAGTTATGACATTATGTGACGGTGTGACAACCTGATTTAAAAAAAAAAATCTTCAAACTTAAGAGCTTAGTTTTGCTAGAAAGGGTCATGCTTGTACCTGTTAGGTTTATGGGCTTCTTCAGGCTGAATTTGTTGTTAATTTTAATTGCTTTTGAAAACCGCATTAGTTTTGTGAATGTTTGATATCAGAACGTTACGAAATAAGCTAAACAAAATTGTTTATATTCATTCATATACTAAAGATTGTATGATACTGAGCTGATGAAAATCAAATTAAAAACATGTACTTCTATTATATTTGGACCGTGAGCTTTACATATACGTTAAAGAACAATGTTCGACTCTTTATATATAAAGAGTATTTTGAAACGTCTAACTTATTAAACTCACAAAAAAAGTTGGGTTTTATCACAAATGATATCTGAAATTGACCTACCCTATTAAGATGGTCTCTGAAATTAAAAATCAATCAATGTGATTTCTGAAAATACATTTCGCAAATCAATGTAGTCCTTTCGTCACAAATCTGTCAAAATTCTGTTATGTACTAATGTGGCACATAATTGGATCTCATAAGTCTAATTAAATATTGACATTTGGAATAAAAATAATTAAATATTAAATATCTTTTTTATTTTAGTATAAATAAAAAAGGAAAAAAGAAGAAGAAGACAATGTTCTTCCCCTCCCACTCGAGCACAAAATGAATGGAATTTGCTTTGCAGCCATAAAAAATTCAATTCGTTAATTGAATCTCCACCATATCATTTTGTTGAATCTTTTAGAAGGATTAACACAAAATGGATGGAATGTTTTGTTGGCTGCGCGGGCCTTAAGGTTTTAACAGACATGGCTGGAGAGAGGAAGCAACAGCCAACAAAGTCTGCAATCCGAGCAGAAAGAAAAAAACAAGGATAACAATGTTTTATCATGGTTTTCATTGTTTTTGGCACCCAGAAAGTTAGGCTGTGGGAAATCAAATGTCTTCTGATAAATATATACCCACCTAATAACAACCACGCCTGCACAACGAACACCAACGCTTCCAAAACCCGAACCTAAAACCTCGTTCTCACAAACGCACAACACAACACAAGGAAATCAGAAGAATGGCGTCACAGGGAGGTAAGCGACTGTCGCTCCGAAGCAACGGGGAAGCATTTGTTCATCTTCTCTTTTTTCCTTTTTTTTTTTTTTAAGTTTTATATTATGCAAAAATAAAAATTATTATTTAATTATTTTTAATTCAAATATCAACATTTAATTATAATTGTGGAACTTAGCTATGTGCCACATCTGCATATAATAGAAATTTTGACAGATTTGTGACAGAAGTATTACACTGATTTCCAATATCCATTTTCAAAGATCACATTTTATTGATTTTCAATTTCAAGGATATCTTGATGAAGTGGTCAATTTTAAAAACCATTGTAATAAAAACGCTAAAAAATTTTTACACATATGTCAAATTATAATTTATCTATAATAAAAAATTTCATTCGCCTAAGTAAGTAAATACCTTTCCGTGTCAAACCTTAGCCAGATGCGACTAGTCAGCCTTACAAACTCGAAAATTCTTGTAGTAATTGTATGAGGCACTGAGATCTTTGTTGTGCATCTATCGACTTGAAACGTAACACAAAAAATGATGATGGTCAAACTGATCAAGCAGCAGCAATATTAGAAGTCTTGTTTAATTGCTTACATTTTGAAGAAGATTAAATGAACCAGCAGGTATGTTGCCCACAATACAAGAAATGCCTTTTCATGAAGTTTACCATTCGGAGCTATTGACCATTTGATTTTTCCAATAAGATATAACGACTTTGTGTGTTGTGGGGGTGATCACCGTCAAAAAGTCTCGCCTAGGCCTTGCTTATGCATTAGGCTGTAAGCTACTAATACAATTAATCACTAGATATTAAAAAATAATAAAAAAATTTGGCACCTAGATTTACGTAGGCACCTACTTAGTAAAACGTCTAGGTCGTGACTCTCACTTAGACGGAAACTAGATAACTTCTCTTTTACATTTTATTTTTGAAGAAATTAGGTTCCCATCATTTTTTTTTTTCTACTCCATTGATTAAAATCTTATTTCATTTCAACTTTTGATCAAAATCCTTGGGTTTTAATGAATGTCATTATTTCAATAATAAAATATTTACATGTCAAGATAATTAAATTTTATCACTAATATATATTCATTTAGTATTAGAAACGTTACATTCGGTATATTTATATTTATGACTAAACTTTGTATCATATATTTCTATTTTTAGTTTGTACCCATTTTTAATTTGCAACCATTTTTTTAATTTGAACCATTTTTCTTTACAGTTTTAAATTGTACCCAAGTATTAATTTTTTTGTTCCCATATTTTTAAATTTTTATTTGTACTCATAATATTTTTTTCCCATTTTATTTGTGCCTATAATTTATTTATAATGTACCCATGTATCTTTAAAAGTGTACCACTTGTTACATGTAAAATTTACCAATTTTTTAATATAAATCTATTTATTTTTTTAATCTAAAATTTATCCATTGTTGTTTATATAAAATGTACACATTGTTTTCTATATAAAATGTACCTATTTTTTTAATATAAATTTTCCCTTTTTTTTTTTGTATAAAACGAACCCACTTTTTTAAATTTATAATTACATGCACCATTGTACTCATATAATTATATGGGTACATTTTTTTATGGGTTACATATCAAAACATGTTACTTTTGGAAAAATGTTGAAATTGTACCCCATAGATAATTATATATGGGGAATGTATGGGTACATTCTTTTGACATGTGACAACTATTTTATCATTCATAACAATGTTTTCTTTTGGTCAAATTCATAACAATGTTGGAGCACTTTTTTTTGACACTATTTCCAATTGATTGATGCATATATATGCGAACATGTACTTAACATCTATTAATATACACTTTCAAAAGGAATTATATTGTTATATTGATTTTTTATTCAATCAAAATTTTGAAAAAAATTCAATAGTTTTTGTTGGCCCTTTTTTTATAGCTCATTAGATGTGAGATTTTAAATACTATTGTAGACATATAAATTTCGTTGCATACAAATAATGCATCATAAAGCTCCATGTGGTATATGACTCGTCACAAATGGACAAGTCATCAATGACATGTGGCACAAATCAAGCAAGGGGCCCAAATTGCTCCCAAAACCGGAAAGGAAGCTAAAACATCTTCACAAAACAAGCAAGAATTAAAGATTGCTCACAAAATAGGCACCAAGCCCTATAGATTTCAGCGAAGCAAGGGAAAGTGGCTGAAAACAAGACACAAAACATGCCTAAATTCTCCTATGGACGAATCAAGACATTAATCAAAGCTAGATCCATCCAAAGGCAAGCTTTGAGAAGTCTATAAATACAAGGTCCCAAGACAAGTATAAGGTGAACAATTTCTACATTGAAGGGCCAAAATTCTCACAAAAAGAGAACCTCTGCTAAAGCTCTCTTTGAAGAACGTACAACCAAAGTCGAAGCTTTCTTTCAACCAGAGCTGAAGCATTCCTTTGAAGAATCAACAAGAACTTGTGCAGATTCCTTCAAGACTTTGTTACAAGTTTAAAACTTGTAACTACGTTCGATTTAAGATCACGTCGCCAAGACCCTTGAATCAACAAAATCCCATATGAACATCACCTTTGTCGTAGGTCATACACAAATCTAGAGGTGAAGACTATCCACACATTGTTTCAAGCTCAAAACTTGAAGCAATTGTTCAATCGTTAGCCCAAGATCAAGTCATCACGATCCTTGGATCAACAACCTACATATCTACATCAAATTTGAAGACTGAATCAGAGGAAAATTGTAAACAGTGATTGTAACCCTACAAATTCATCAATACAAATCTACTTTGTACACGTGTTCTCGTTTCATTTGTTACTAAATTTTCGTGTTTACAAATTTGGCACGCCCAGTGGAACGTCTCTGTCTCCCATCTCTATCTTCAAATCCATAAGAAACACACGTCCAGTGGGATGTCTCTGTCTCCCATCTTTGTCTTCAAATCCCAGCTCGTATGCCTTAGCCATGCAAGCTATGACTACTAGTGCGACTTCAATCGAAGAGCAGCTAGCACAAATGAGAGAAGCAATCGCAAGATTGACAAGGAACATGGAGTAAAATGACTTGCAAATTTATCAGCCGCGCATTTCATTGAAGTTTGCAACAATGCCAAAAGGTTATTAGCCGCCCAAATTTATGTAATTCGATGGAAATGGCAATCCTAAGCAACATATTGCCCATGTCATTGAAATTTGCAACAATGCTGGGATAGAGGGAGACTACCTCGTCAAACAGTTTGTACGCTCGCTAAAAGGCAATGCTTTTGACTGATACATCGACCTCGAGCTTGAATCTATCAACAGCTGGGACCAGCTTAAAAGGGAATTCTTTAACCATTTCTACAACACTCACCGCACCATAAGCATGCTGGGGCTGACAAGTACGAAGTAGTAAAAGGATGAACTTGTCATCGACTACATCAATAGATGGTGTTCATTAAGTTTAGATTACAAAGATTGGTTTTCTGAAATCTTTGCCATTCAGATGTGTGTTCAAGGCATGCACTGGGGGCTACATTACATCCTCAAAGGCATAGAACCAAGAACTTTTGAAGAATTGGCAACTCAATCCCATGACATGTAGTTGAGTATTGCTAATCATAGGAAGAAATAGCCAATCACCGATTACAAAAAGGATAAGGTGTTCGTCCCAAAGGTAGACAAGACTGGAAAAAGACCACCATTAAAGCTTTTGCCGTCCATACTATCCCTATCAAGACATCTTCCATGCCCGTCCAGATCTTCTCTAAAAAAAA